GTAATTTGAGATTCTAAAGTATCTACTAATTCTTGAGTACTTTGACCTAATTGAATCTTAGCAAGGCAAAAGATTCTATCCTAATTAAGGTTATAAAAGTGTTCTGTATTTCTAGTTGATTTAGTATAATAATGAACTCTAATCTATAGGTTATAGTTAGGGTTCTATTCAATATCTTGAATAGCTTTATATATATAAAGATATTCTAGACTACAAAACTAAGAATTGTTTTAGATTGTATTTAGTTTATGTATTCTAGTTCTGATATATTCATCTTTGCAAAGAACATATTTAATGAAGAGTTCTTATCTATTACTATTAGTAAAGTATTCTATATTGCAAGAGTTATCACAAAGTAGTTGTTAATAGAAATCAATTCAACAAATTCTACAGACTAATAAATTATCCAGAAGATAAATATCTTCAGGTTTTTTAGGGTTTTGCATTAGTAACAGTAATTAATTTTTTTGTTACTATAATATACTATGCATTAGTCTTCTACTTCTGCTAGAGAGCATCTATATCTATATCTTTGATTATCTATTTTTAGAAAAGCAAGAGAATAGTAAGTATCAATATGTCCAAATTTATTATATTTGTAATATTTGTTATAGAGGTATTCTATATAGTAATATCCTAGTTCATCACAAGTTTTATAAAAGTTTTTTTTAAAAGGTGTTGTAAACAGTATACAACAATATGTCTATATTGATAATATCTGTTATATTAGTTGTTAGAGCAGTTTGCAAATAGATATTCTGTTTGTTGATAACTACTACAAATTTTAGAAGTCTTGCTAGAGAGGTTCTAGATTTATATCAGGATCTTTGTATAATCCAAAGATATTTATTTTTTAATTCTATTATTTGGTATCTACTCATATAGGCTTCTTTAGATATTAGAAATTCTTTTTTAAACTGATTGAGTTTATGAGCTTCAGTTACAGTTAGTTGTTTAGAAAAAAGTTAGTTCTGTTCATAGATAGTTGATATATGAACTTTTCTGTTATTCTATTTGAAAATATAGGCTTTGTTTTTCTAGTTGTATATAGTATTAACTTTTTAAGACTAGTCATTTCAAATAAGAGATTATAAGAGGTAAAATCTATTACTTCTACATCTAAGAGAATTGTAATATCTTCAATTTCTATAGGAAGGTTCTTAATTATTTCTAGAGATTGAACAGAGGATCTTGTTGCAAAGACAATTAAACTAGTAGAGTAAATATCAATTTTTAATCCTAGCTTTTTAACTATTTTATAAGAGATCATACTAATAGAGATACTACTATCAATGATAGCTTAGTATAGTTGGTTTCTGATTCTGATATTGTATTTTACTAGTATAGTATAAGTAGCAGTTTGATTAAAGTTGATATTGTAAGAAAGTTCAGAGAAGTATTCATTTATAGCTATTTGTAATAATTTTTAGAAAAAGAATGATTCAAATTGTTTATAGCTATAGTTATTTGCAGTATCTATAGTATAAATATCTTAAAAATATAGAGTTAAAGATCTTTTCTAAGATCTATTTCTAGATCTATCTTTAAATCTATCTTTAGAATTATCTCTGTTTCTATTATTTTGGTTATAACTAGAATATTAGTTTCTAGATCTGTCTTATTCATGACTTGAAGAGTGATTGTTATTGTAGTAGTTATAGTCTTGAGATCTGTTTCTTTCTTTTGATTAAGAATAATTATAAAAGTAATAGTTATTGTTGTTACTAGACTTTCTATTATTAGATCAATAGTTATTATTATTATGAGAGTAACTATCTGAATAGCAAGATTCTCTATAAGGTCAGTCTCTATTGTTGTCACTTTTCTAATGCAGCAATCTTTTATATAATATCCTTAATTACTACAATAGTAGCAAGTAGCATTTCAAGAGTATCTATTATTATTATTATTATTATTGTTAGATCAGTTATGAAAAGATTCATTGTTGGAGTAGTAGGTTGGTTTAGAGATAAAGTTATTTTGTTTTTTAATCAAGTTGATGCTAAGTTTAACAATTTGTTCTGTTATAAGTTAGAGAAGCTATAAGTATCCTGTTTCTTACTAGTGAGCAATAGTAATCATATTGTTAAGGGTATTTGGTTTAAATACTTATATATTAATAGCATATTCAGATCATAATCCTTAAATAAAAACTTGAATTAGGAATGAGTTAGGGAAATCATTATCTGGGTCTATTCATTCTTTTAATTGTTTAAACTTATTAATATAAATATCAATAGTATCTGATCCTTGTTATATAGCAAAAAGTTGTTTTTGCTATATAGCTTTTTGTTTAGAAGTATAAAATCTTTCTCTAAACATATAGTAAAAGCTATAGACTCTTTTATCATTAATATTATTTTCATGTTCATTATTATAGAAGTGTATTGAAGTATAGTCTTAACTATTTAAAATAAAAAACTCTTTTCAATAATCACCAAAACAACAAAATCTGAAGAAAGAAAAAAACAAAATAGATTCATATGACTACTTTATACTAAATAACTAAATATTAATAACAAATTCTAATCTCCTCTTGGATATACCAAAATACAATTAAAAGAAACAGAGACCTCACTTTATCTACTCCTATATCTTTTAACAAACTTGTATTGCTGACTATGTTAGCAATATCCTCAAATAATAATACCACTAAACTAACAGAAAGCTCTATTGCTTCTACTATTACAAATACTTCGCTCACAGATGAACATCTAAAAAAAAGAAACAAAAAAGACCACAACAACAACAAAAAAACTTGCTCTATATACTGTTCATACTTCTACGATTAATTCTAAAAATTCTAAAAAAATTTTACAAAAAGTAGAGAATCTAATTCTATCTTAACAAAACAATACATGACAATACATATAGTAGATATTCCCATAACATCACTTGCAACAAATATTCCCATGGTATTATATACAACAAATATTCCTATGACCTCTGACCAACAAAACAAAGAACCTGGAACTGATCTCCATTTAGAATCTGACTCTAATAACTCAGAGCCAATACCTGAGTTCCCAGCAACAATACCTAATTCAGACCTTACAAATATAGAAGTTGATATACATACAAGGAATATAGAATCTACTCTAACTGCAAGTTCAAGTACTTCTACACTTACCTATAGTCAAGCCCTAACAGGCAAAAGAACATCTTAACAAAACTTAATAAAAAAGAACAACAACAACAACCTACAGGCAGACTATAAAGAAAAGGAATGAACAGATAAAATAATCCTAGTTTTAAAAGACAGAAGGCTAGAAAAATACCAACCTATAGACATCTCTCTCTGAAACTGAGACAAATACATAGAAATATTTACTTTTCTCTCTGCTCTTAAAGAATTTACCAAGTATAAATTAAAGCATTTACCTATTAATTACTTTATCTCTAAAGCTATTTTAGCTAAGTTAGATCACCAAGATACTCAATTCTTCTGTACCTTTACCTGTTCTGCTCAAACTTAGCCTCAACACTAACAAGAGTTCAATGACCTACTTATTGTAGTGATTAAACGATATAAACAACTATATAATATAATAATTACTAACAAAATGAACTGAGATAAGATCTTCTTTATGCTTCATAAGAAAATTAGAATGGATTATCTCTTAAACATGAATTTTAATCTAAAAGACTCACATGAAATAGCTCATTCAATCTTTTACTTAGCTAGCTTTACTAAAACTGCAATTCCTTTCAAGTTTGATGATGTCTAACAAATAATCTCTAAATATATTATCAACAACTTACTATTACTTTCTGATGATCCTAAAGATATACCTTCTTATATTAATAATACTTTAAGTTTTGAATTACCTTTAATGAACTACTATAATACTCATTGAGTTGTAAGAATATTATGTAAAGTTTTTATATTTCAAACACTTCCAGAAACATACTTTAGAGATGATCACCTACTTTTACCAGAAAAAATTGAAGATCTGCACCTAGAAGTTAGAGACCTTTTTCCAATCTCTAGTCATGTGAACTTAAAACAACTCTCAAATTACAAACAAGCTCTTCAGAAATACTATCTATGTAATAGAATACTATCATATTTTTTTAATCTGTCTGAGCGACTACTACCTCTACTAGTTACTCCTCAACTTCTCTCTCCACGCTTTGAAGCAAAATTCACTTTTTTCCCAAAAAACTGAAAGGACTTTATTAATCATATCAGAATTCTATGATCAGAATACACATTTGCTAAACTTCCAAATAATTATTTGATTACAAAAAGACCTCTTCCAACTGATCCTCTCAAATTACAACTAAAAACTCAAATATTATTCTCTATTAAAGACAAAGTAATTGCATAACAATTCATCAAAGAAATACTATCTATTTACCGAATACTATTTCACCTTCCTCCTGCATACGGTATTGTCAACTATACTGATCTTCCAGATCTTCTAATCAACTCAAATAATATCATAGAAGTGAATCTTACTCTCCTAATAACTATATCCAAAGAACTCTCTATTGCTGTAAAAGCTCTTAGAGAGCACTACTTCTTTCATCAAATCCCAGATTTATAGATAAATATTCCAATATCACAGAATACTACATCAACTAACTAGCTTTCAAATATATTAGTAGAACTAAACATTATTATTCAATAGCAGTAGCTAGATAAAACAATTTCTCTACTAGTAAAATAATATAATGATATCTACAAATCTTCGCCTTTCTTCAACAACACTTTGAATTTACAAATTTACCAAATTTCTTACTTGAATTACCTAACTTACCATTTCCAAAATAGGATATCTTTAAACTACTCCAATACCAATCTCTTGATATAGAAACAGAACCTGAAAATAATATTCTATAAATAACACATCTACAACATCAAACTCTATAATTCTCATTGATTTTCCTACTCTAATTCAACAACAACTACCTGAGATCAAAGATTCAAAACAACAAATTAATTTTACTACATATAATATAAGAGGCCTAAATAATACAGTATTCTTCAAGTTTAGGTTGCATTGTTGGATCAACCTTAAACCAAAAAGATTGTAAGATTGAAACTTACGATGATATATATAATAAGGTTTCTGATATAAAGCAAGAAAACGCAGTTGCAAAATATGTTAGAGCTTATGTTCTTCAGGTAATAGTCAATAATTAATTTAAATTTTATTATAATATTTTATTTAATCGATTTTTAAATTACTAGGTGCCTCTTTCAAAATTTCCACCAATAATTGTAGCATTAATTCCAACTGGAAGTGATGATAGTAAAAAAATTTTTGCACTTCATAAAAAGCTTATAGACATTGCAGCAGATCTGGAAATACACATAATATCTATTGGATCAGATGGCGCTGCTGCTGAATTTCAGGCACAGAATCTTTTACAAGCAACTGAGACAAAATATCGGGTTCAACACCGAAATTCTCAATTTGGTATTAATTTTAACTGTCCTATATTTCCCAAAATTGGGCCTGTAATCCGTATTCAAGATCCGAAGCATGGAAAAAAAACAGCAAGAAATGCTGTTATGTCAGGTGCTCGTTTACTTACATTTGGAAATTCTACAGTCCGGTTTGATCATCTGTTAGAATTATCTTTTAAAGAAGAAAGTGTTATGTATAAGCGAGATGTAATAAAATTGGATCGTCAAGACGATAATGCTGCATATAGGGTATTTTGTTCGAGGAATTTAGCTCAAATATTAGACGAAGAAAAGGCTTTACTACCTGAACTACGGGGCCTATTTATATATCTTTTTATTATGGGTATATATTAATTTAAAATTTTCATAATTTAAGTATATTTTATATAGTATTAAATTAACTAGCTTTGATTTACTTCAGGTGAACTTATTGATAGTTATCTTAATCGCAATATTACTCATCATGAAAGAATTGAAATGGCTATGACAGCATATTTTTTTCTACACCTATGGAAATATCATATTGAAACCCTTAGTGCTTCTTATCCTTTATATGTATCCGTGTCAAAAAATTTCTTGGCAATGCAAACTTTTAATATTATGATTAGTTTAGTCGAATCTTTAGTTCTTTTAATTAAGATTCATAGAGATTATTA